ATCCTTGAAAAAGTTAATCCATAAATCTGCAAAATTTAAAGTATGTGATCAGAATTAACCTACAACTAATATCACTAACTTTTCACGCCAGCTTTTTTAATTTATAAAGTTACTGCATCTTACATATTTCTACGGAGAAGGTCGATTTCTACGGAGAAGGTCGATTTCTACGGAGAAGGTCTATTTCCAAGGAGAAGGTCTATTTCCACGGAGAAGGCCTATTTCCACGGAGAAGGTCTATTTCTACGGAGAAAGTCGATTTCTACGGAGAAGGTCGATTTCTCCGTAGAAACTGGACGTAAGCTTTGTATAAAGAAGTCGTGTCCCTTTTGGGCCACCGTAATTTCCAAAGACAAAACGAATAGCGAGTTCAATCGTTTATACCCGGAGCTAAGAATGAATGACAGAGAGTGTCACTAGAGGTACGTTTTTTTTAATTCATTCTTGCATTCACAGCTTCGACACTTTCAGTTTCTCATCTGAATTAAGCACGGGTTTGTTGCTGTAAGAACACTTCTAATTTAAATGAGACCAGAATCAAAATGGTTGTGGTTGTTTTTATTGAAGTGCGAAGCATTTTTTGCAATTCAACTAAACTTAGAGCTGCGCTTCATATTAATTTTATTGATATATAGATACTTAAGAATTTCAAGAGAGAGATTTGACCATTTATGGAGTCTTATAGAGATGAGGATGCAGAGGCAGAACACATTCTTTCACAGCTATGAGTGAAGACGAACGATTGGTAATTACTTTATTGCCATAGATTGCCACAGCAACTTGGGAAGCCAATATAATAATTACAAAGGTTTCTTTAGTATGTCACTTCTTGCAGTGTGCGATGCTAAATACAGCTTTTCAACAGCTGTTAGCTATATTGCCTAACTGAATTTTTAGATTCAGAAAACAGCAATGGACATATCAGGCTTGAGAATGGAGAAAAGTTGTTGCATCTGATTCTGGTACAGTTCTAATCAGTATCCCCAAAGTCCGAGGTTCTCGTTGTACTGGCAATACTATTGCTCTGAGGGAGACATTGAAACATTACGTAAATAGCAATGAAGGCTCTGTGCTTTGTCAGCCACAGTATGTAAGAAGCACTGGAAGAATTTGTAATTAAGGAAACAAAACATATAGCTATTAACTGCATTAACTTATGCAAATTCCATTCAATGAAAACATACTTGTTTGCATGTGAGGGGTCTTTATTTAAGACTAATGTATATTGACTATGGTAAGATTTCTATTATTTCAGATTAACTTCATACCTTAAATAAACACGCGAACTTTTAATTTTCTATCAGATTACTTTGATTGGAGGAAATAAAGCAATAAATAAAAACAATGCAGCAAATTACTGAAATGAACTAAATACATGTAAAATAAATCGTAGTATAATTGCATTGAATATTGTTCACCCAAACAAGCTATAATTAAAGTTCATGGTCACATAAAATAATGTATGCTACCATCGTATTTTTTCTATAGCGTTTCTAACACAAAATGGCACTTTCCGAAGAGATTATGAAAAACGAAAGAGGATGTAAAATAATAAAATTGGAACAAAGGACAAAGTGAGTTTTAACGCAAAAGAAACTATCATGCCTTCAATCGAGAAGTGCAATATATAATTAGCACAGAACATCTAAAACTACAAATGGTAAATTAGCTTTAAAAACTAGTCAACTGAATCTAAAAATTCAAGAATTAAGAATTGAGAGAGATGATAATGATAATGGAATTGAGAAATGTATAAAATCATATAATCGTATAACGAAAATACTTATCTTACCAAAGGTTTTTCAGATAACTGTGATTTCTTATCTATAAGACATTTTTTTCTCAATTCGTATTATCGTATCATGATAATGACTAAGTGTTTGAAAAGTAGGCGGGTATTCAATAATCTAGCTCCGTCGACCACCTAGTGAAGTACACAAAATAATAGCATGCAGCAAAAATGGTGTTAGCTGTAAATTGCTTCATATTAAAAATTGAACCACGTTTTTGTGTTATGACTTACCAGAAATCTTAGATCCGCTAATTCAAATTCTTTTGTCATCATTAATTTTGATAAAAAGACACAACGGAGCAGCGTGGAGTAGAATTAACAGTAAATTTAATCTCAATTTGGGTAAAACAGTGTATCATTTGACTGAGTGAAAAAAACATGATCATTTCACAAAAAAAGACATGATAATTACTAGAATGTAGACATAATAAGCTGCTGTAAGCAGAAAGTCTTGCGTCTTACGTTTTTGAACGAAAAATCTTGAAAATCATTCTCAGAGAAAATTATTTTAAGTGACACTCAATAAATCAATCAACGAAACAATAAGCAATTATTGGAGAGCCTGTCATAACAGGTATTTCAATGAATGCTTTAGTGTTTATTATTTTATATTGGAGTTCACTAAATTTATTCTGAATTGCAATTAAGACTTCATTACTAACTAATTTTTAAATTCAAATTTTGACATGTTTCATTATGGCTTTGTCATTGTCTTTAAATTTAAGTTTATTCAGAAAGTCTTTGCACATGTTGGTTTTCTGAGGTTTGTTGCTTTTGAGAACTTGAAATCATCATAGGCAATAATATACCCATCCAGCTCTGAATTGCAGTTCTTTGCCAAAAACTTAATCTCTCTAGACGTAAGTTTCTCGTTCCAAACGTACACGAAATCAATTTCACCTTTGAAGGCTTGATTTTTTTCAAATCCTCCACCAACAAAATCTTGATCTTGCCCTATCACCCATTGTCCACCAGCTTTGAGACTTTTACTCTTTCCACCAACTTTAGTACTGCGTATCATGCCGTCCTTGTACACATTTATTTGTCCACTGGATGATTCCCAAGTAACAGCCAAATGATGTGGCTTTCCATCAAGGAGGTCATTGACTCCTGTCCTTTAAAAAACAATGATGAAGTGCTTCATCAGAATATGATTCTATTTTTGGATACATAAAAACAGCCATTATTTGCAAATTTAGACCAAGCAAACTTTTCTTATTCCAAACTTCTATTAGTTATTAAAAATTAATAAACCTTCTGATGTTTATTCGTGTAATTTTAGTATTTTAAAACTAGAAAATTTACCAATCATTCATTTATCTAGGTTAAACAGTGTAAAACTCAAAAAAATTATTTACTTTCTACCATACTACAGGATTTGCCAAAAATACGAGCCTACACAAAAAGTAATGTTATGCGTTTAACATTTGATTGTAATAATTGTGCATAAAAATGATGATTGTATTAATGTTTGCATTAAATACAAATGAAAATGACATGTTCATTGAATCGTATGGAAACTCTGACTATGTTTTTTTTGTTATAACTCAGTAAAAATCGCTTTGATTTCATAAAGCATTTGCGTAATAAATGCAGGATAAAAGTCAGTATATACAATACTTATAAATTCTTTAGTTTTTATGGCAACTTAACAAACCCTATAAAACTCAAAAAAATTCAGAACTGTTAAGTTCTTTGAACTTTTGTAAACGCAAGTTATATTATTATGCGTAATGAATTCAGTAAATACATAATAAACTATGCGGTTTCCGTTTTTATTGTAACAGTTTGTATATTGTCCGCAATTTCTTTACTTATGATGCACTTAACATTCTATTCTCAATTCTGATTGGCTTAGAAATACAGTGCAAAAAATAAAGTAAAGTGCACTTTTCTTTTTTAAAAGTGGTCCTGCTTGATTTGTTAAATAAAGAAATAGTATAAGAGTACTAAAATAGAACATATAAAGACGAGAAACTTAAATTATCGCAAATAAAAGCAACTACAACGCTTGGATCGAGTGTAGTATCGAGTAGACCTTTTTTAGAAACCTAGCATTTGCAAGATACTTCTGGCCAAAAATGCAAAATCTGATAAAAGTAGACATAAGTCTGGAAGATGTGTTGTTGTAAAATAAATTGTCTTAGAATTAAGAACCATGAGTTTGTTGATATCTATAAGTTACAGCCTTACATGTACCTACACTGAAAATAAAAATCAAGAGAATTGAAAGAAATTATCATGCATCTATTATATAAAATTAGTTGCATGGTTGGTTTAAAGCACAGATGCTTACAGAATGATGTATAAAACAATTTGATTGCTTTAAGGAATTAGAGCAAATCATGCTTGAATTTTTTTCAAACTTTAAACACATGAGGATAGTCAATACTTGTATGACCTCTTGTGCACAAAAACGCATAGATCTAAAAAGAAGAACGAGAAATAAATTGATTCTGACCTTAATACATAACTGAAACATAAGTTACTAGGCTCACAACTATTACACTGCAGCCCGTTTCCCAAGTAGGAGCGTTGCGATCCGGAGATCAGAGGGGTGCTAGACCCCCAAATCATTGTTCTCTCAGCAAAAATATTTCTCTATCAATTATTTCTACCCCTTTTTATTTATTGTTTCTTATTACCACGACCATGCCACGTTTCATTTGTCAGGAAATTTTAAGCCCAGACCACCTTAAAAACATAAAATTTGATACGCCCATGTGCCCAAGGTTGTATGACTATTTAATATAAGTAAAGTCTTCATTTCTAACTTCAACCATAACAGATTGCTTTTCAAGTAACCTTCTAAAGTACATTAAGAGTTCAAGATGGAATCGAACGTGTTAGCACGCTCAGGCAGAAATTGCTGGCTTTGGAGTATACACATTTTAAATATGAATATTTAAAATGTGTATACTCCAAAGTATATATATGTGTATAGTCAATTTGGATTTTTAGTTTATTTGGAGATATTAAATAGAGCTCAATGGAACATGATAAGATAGGAAACAATATTTCAGAATGTTTGCTTGTGTTAGGGAAAATTGTACTTAGAAACCGTAAACCTACAATAATATCGTTCAATCTGTGTACGCATTTGCTTTTATACTCACTGAATTTGGGCACCAACTATATGAATATCCAAAGTAGAGTGACGAATAACCAGAACAAAGGCGTTATCTGTCTGCTTATCTGCATACGACACCATTGCTACATAGGAATTCTTTTTGTAGTAGTCGTCATTCCAAACGGTAGTCCATAAAGAGATTGTTAAAGTGTTCAATAATGGCGATGGCCCGTAAAAGATACCGTACTGGTTTATATTTTTGCCATCAAAGGAGGTCGCTAAAAAAAGGAATTGTTTGGTTAGTATTTTATGTTTTTATATTGTTTTTGGCATAGATAACATTAATGCTAATAGATTCATATTCTATGATTACCTTTTCTGTTTCTGTTTTACAAACGTCATCGTTATGTGAAACTTGCCCCTGAATATCACAGTACTTGCAGCAATTTTGTAGCACCCCCTTGCATGTATTTTCTGAATTGCAGTTCACAGTCTTCATACTAAATAAATGCAAATGTTCATTTTTTATTTCTCTTATGTTTGACAAACTGTCAATGTTATACAATTGTGCATAAAACAAAACAAAAATTATGTATTTTGTCTATAAGACAATGAAATGTTTAATGCGTGTTCAGACATGAAAATCGACAAGATCTTTGGGACAACTCTAGAGTAGATAATTGTAAGCCCAAGACCGAAGGTTGCACCTGCTTGAGAGTTCTCACAAACCTCTCCATGGTTTGCGGCAATTTTTTAAACTGAACGTATTTGAAGTCGCAAACGACAATTTAAGCCGAGATTTACGCTGCTTTTCACTAATATCCCGAAAACAATAGTATTTTTAGCGAGCCTTTACATTGTGGAATTGTTGCTTCTCTCTGAAAGAAGAAGATCGTCTATTGGAATCGTTAAATCCCTGAAAGATTTATACAATGACACAATATATTGGAAAATTCTTTCTTTTCATTGACCAAGTTCATGAAAAATGTGGTATATGTATATAAAGTCCAGGTTCCAATGTAGCACTATCTTAGGCCAAGTTCAAACGTCGAACTTACAAGTAAACCGAACACATGTAAAGTTTGACGTTTGAAACAGGCCTAACGTTATTTTGAGTCTGTGATGCTTTGGAGAATATAAAGTTTGTGGACTATGCCAAGTACGTAGTGAATGATAGAAACCACTAGTTACTAGAAGGATAACAAAGGCTCAAATTTATGCAATAAATAACCAGAAAAACTTGTCAATATTTTTATAAAACATGCTATTGCACAATGGTCACCGAAAGGAGGTTCTCAAAATTCACAACTAAAAATTCATGAAGAAAACCATGTAAAAGTCCCACCAAGAAAATAATACAGTCCGCCATGGTGTTTTTCCCCATGCACCCCCCCCCCTGCTATTTGCGGAAAGCCCCTCTCTCCCACAATTGGGGACAATAAAGTGTATCAACACAAGGTTTCTATAAAACTAACTACGCGGCAAAGTTCCACAAAATGCGCTCCTGACAAAATCAGCTCAGAAAATCTAAATATAGCGCTTCTAAAAAGAAGAAACACATATCTCAGTAATTATTAAACTATGATTTTTGTTTTGTAAAATAAAATTATCAATTTATAAATTTAGCTAAAGAGAGGAATAAATTCGGCTAGGGAGTTTTCCGGCAATTCTTAGTCTCCTACGCGGCTTCCAACAATATTTATCAATTAAAATAAATCTTGGTCGCATATGACTTATTTGTTATTATATAATTCGCGTTTAGTGACGTACAGCAGAACCTGTGTTAAGCGGCACCGTATTAAGCGGTCACCCTGTGTTAAGCGGTCATCTGGCAAAGTACCGAAAATTTCATAGTATAAATATTATTAAAGTGACTTTTATTAAATGGTCATCTCTTTTAAGCGGACGCGGTCACCTTTTCCAATGTGCAAAACTTAATTTTTCATTGTTTTGAAACAGCATTAAACGGTCAGGTTAAGTAAACACCTCATAATAAAATACATAATTAAATATTTTTTCTGGAACATGTCACTTATATTGCATTTATCTTCCGTAATTACTCAAAAGAGCGAACAATATTTTCTGTTTGTGTGGACGAATTACACAAGAAATTTAAACTTTTCTTACGTCCCTTCAGCCATTGAGAAGAAAACAAATCTTCAAGAAAGGGATATCTATATACGCGCAGAATTTATAAGTTAAAACCACCTCCTCTGTCGACACGCTTGCCATTTATTACTTTTCAGCAGTATGAGCAGTGACATTTTTACGTATACTATTTTTAATTTCTAGTTCAAATTAAAAAAAAATTGCTTTATATAGTGTTGTTATTTGGCATGTACGCTAAGGAACAATATGGATTGGTTCAACTTTAATGGCATGAAATATTACACGTAGCCTGTCTGGTGATTTTCCTAAAGACCTGTTCAAGTGGTCAACCTGTATTAAACGGTCACCCGAAAAATCCCCAAGGGTGACCGCTTAATACAGGTTCTACTGTATTTAACTTTCGGTATCTTTATACTAACTTTTGTTGCTCATTTAGCTTTTTGCACTTGGGATGGTTGCGAGGACCATTCAATGTCAAACGTTTGATTGCAAAGAAGTACAATATATTTGTGTTTTCATGCATACTTTATTAATCTTTATGTAATACGCACTTGATCAAAACCTAACGATTGAATAAGTATTTTGTCTAGTCGATCAAAACATTAGCTTAACATTAGCTTAATTAGAAGAAATTTGAATAAATTTCTGATAAAATTTGTAGCAATGGAAGGAATAGATATAGGTTCAATAGACATAATTGTACTTAAATTGACTTTAAATTTCATTACCACTGCTAACTGCATAAATATTAGTTAATATAATATAATTGTATAAAAATTAGTTTCCTCCTTACCTTTGGAAAGCAGAGAGTACAAATACGACAAATATTGATCTAATTGTAAAGTAAGTAAACGCCATCTTTCCAAAAGCAGTGTGTCAGTTATAATGGAATTAAACATCTACACCGACTATTATATAGTGCGCATTACAAGGCAACTAACAAGAAATTTCCTGTTAAATCAGGTGTGCTGTCAAGAAAATTGCTCTTACGGACAAAGTAATTAAGTCAAGCAGACATTTTTTATTGTACTCCGTCGCGGTTTGCTAATTGTTAATAACGTGTCAAATTTAAACGTATATACATAGCATATGCAAATAAAACGACATACTTTAAAACAGAATTTATTTGAGAGATTACAAAATACCAAAACAGTACATTTGTTTTCATATTATGCTTTACTTGCATACATGCAGCATGTAAAATAGAATATGAAAACAAAGATTTCTTTTTTGTTAAATTGACAATATCAACAGTGTTTGTAATAACGTATAAAGAGCTTAAAACGATTGTGAAGACTTAACATTTAAAACTATCGCGTAATATACGTCGTAAATGCTCTTTTTTCACTCTGTGTGTTTGTAAGCATAACTTAGGACTGCTTGGAAACTTTACAGGAGAATGAGATAATAGCTATATTTCCTAGTTACATGGCAACGTACATATTCAAATTGAAATATGATAACGATTTTTTAACCATTTATGTAAAATTCACATTTGCAAGGTTCACCTAAAATTTTATAAAGATTTCACGCATAAAGTCAACAATATAAATCTTAATTTGCAAATTTGAAGGGGTTAACAAAGTACATGGTACATAGAGGTATAACCATTCTGCTTCTTTAAGTCCGTGCTATGCAAAGCAATTGTATTAATTTACATATACACACAATTCGTAGCCAAGATATTTTTGTTGTATTTCGTGAATGCTCATGATTTATAAACTAAGTATAATTATTTAAAACGAGCAAAATCATTTATATCATCGGTGAATTAGTTGGTTAACAACCTATAAAAAATGATGATTTATAAGATCGAATTTTACCAAAATCCGGCTCAATCTGTGTTGTATGTAAACATAATATACTTCTTTTGATATGTAACGAATTAAACTGCGTGAGCAACCGAATAAAAATCATCCTAAGAATAAATTGTTTTGGAATAATAATACTTAACAAAAATTTTTATGAGCGAGAGAAGCACTAGCGAAAAAACAAAGCAAAGCTTCAGTGTATCGATTATTGATTAATAAATATTTATAAATGATTTTGAAATAATGAAAAAGCATTTATTGATAAAGTTTGTTTCCAATACACAAAATATATAAACATTTCAAATGCAGTACTTTCCAAAAAGCGTCGTTATAAGAGGGACCTTGTCACAGCAAACGCATTTGCTTACAAAACGTCCTTAATAACAAAAAGATACAATTTTGGTATCTATTGACGGATTTCGTGTTCTGCAGTTGCCTTACAGCAGGCAATAGAGAGCTTAAGCAACAACGTTTTATCCGACAACGGCGTCGTGAGACATCGCGAAAGACTGTGACGAGCATGACGTTCCCGCGTATATTTAAAACAGTTAAGCAAAGTTCGTAATAAAAAGCGGCGGTAGAAAGTGAACTCTTTTTATGTCTTCGTTTAAAACAATACGAAACTTTTGTCTTGTGCTTATTGAAGAAGGTTACATTACAGAATATGAATTGATCATATTATACAAGGCATATAAATCAAGGAACCCAGAGCTTCCATTCAAAAATTATGAGCCATTTTGTTTAGATAATCTAAGTGAGGATGAATGTAAAGTAGAATTCCGAGCCAACAAACACGATTTGATTTTCCTCCAACAAAATCTTCGAATCCCTGAAATAGTCAAGTGTCCACAAAGGACAACATGTTCAGGACTGGAGGGGCTATGCATTCTTTTAAATCGTCTTGCTTACCCTTGTCGATTTTCAGATATGACTGGCAGATTTGGGCGACCAGTTCCTGAGTTGTGTATGATTGCAAATACCATCATTGACTTTATTTATAATTATCATAAGCAAAAAATTACAGAATGGAACCATGATCTTTTAAGCCCAGAAAATATACAAGTTTATGTCAATGCCATCCATGAAAAAGGAGCACCTTACGAAAATTGCTTTGGCTTTATTGATGGAACGGTCAGACCAATTTCACGGCCAACAAAACATCAGCGAATTGTTTACAATGGCCATAAAAGAGTTCGCTCTTTGAAGTTCCAGGGTGTGGCATTGCCAAATGGTTTGATTGCACATATTTTTGGTCCAGTTGGTAGGCTTATATAATTTAAATGAAAACATTATTGTACACACTATATTGTACAAGCAAAAATAGTCTATAACTCAGGCAAGTACTTTCTATATTACAGAAGGAAAAAAACATGATGCTGGTATGCTGGCTGACTCAAACTTCCTTCAAGACCTGGAACAAAATGCTTTTTCTGTGGATGAGAGTCCATTATGCATATATGGGGATCCAGCTTATCCACAGTGGATTCATCTACAAGCTCCTTTTCGGCATGGGGTAATCACAGACAGAATGAAAGAATTCGACAAGCAAATGAGTTCAGTTAGAGTGTCTGTGGAATGGTTATTTGGAGATGTGATCAACTCATTCCGGTTCATGGACTTCAAAAAAAAACCTCAAAATAGGTCTAAGTAGTGTTGGGAAAGCATATATTGTCTGTGCATTGTTAAGAAATTCACTCACTTGCATGTATGGAAATATAACATCCAAGTTTTTTCAGTTAGATCCTCCAACCTTGGAGAATTACTTTATAACTAATTAATGAATGCCATAATGACTCATTATTAAACACACAAACAATTAGCAAGTATGTAACTTGTTATGTAAATACTGACAAGTGTAAGTGAGAAAGTTATTATAAGTCAAATAACAAAACATTAAAAGTTCATAGTTACACAGATTGCTAAAACACAACAGTTAAGAATTTTTTCCTTGTAAGTGACAACACAATCTTACTTGGTTGTGAACCTCTGAATAATGTCAAGAAATGCTGTTGACAATTGCTGTTGTTGCTGAAGAAGTAAAGCTTGGCTGTCCATCATTTTTAGATTTTGTTGTTGCATCATTTTTAAGACTTCTGTTTGTTGTGTAGCTGCTTGGGTACTCAATTTATTTTGTATTTCTTGCTCATTTCGCTTTACTTCTAATTCTGCACGACGGATTTCAATTTCCTTCCTTGATCTTTCTCTCAAATATTCGACTAACTCACAACTTCCGCGGCGTACTCCCTTAAGCTTAACATCTGAGTTTTGCCGATCAGATTTTCTCTTGCTTGTTTCGCCCATTCGTTCCAATGCTTTTGAACTGATGCTACCTCAAGGAAGCTGTCCTCTTTTTGGCACAACTCTTCAATCAAACTTTCTTTAAAGTAAATGGTTTGAACCCGGGAGTATCGTTATATGTTTGTAATTGATGATCGTCCAGGTTTATAAAGTCCTGAGAAGGACTGTTTTTGTTGTTGTAGACTGACGTTTCGACAACCTTAGCGGTAGTCATCTTCAGAGTCAAATGAGGAGTAAACGTCAGGTTAGCCGTATTTGTTATCTGGTTCTTACGTCATTGTATTGTGTGTACAGGAAATGTGTATTGTCATTGTGGATTAGTGTGAAGTGAAATATTTTATTGTGATGTGTGATTTAGGTGTGACGTTTTTAGTTGTAATGTGTGGGTGTCAATTGTGTATTGTCATTGTGAATTAGTTTGAAGTGTAATGTTTTTAGTTGATCGTTTGTTTGTATTGTGAATAAGTCGTTTGTAAGGTGCCGGTAATTGCTGTGATCTGTTCAGGGGGGTTTGTTCCAAGTTGGTATACCAACTTTCTAATGTAAGCCGTTGTCTATAGTCAGTACTGTAAGTGATGCATTTTGCCGAGTCCCAGTCAATGTTGTGCTTAGTGATTCGGTGGTGTTCGGCAATGTGATTAGTTTTGTTTTGTTTCTTAGTAGCTCATTTGTGCTCGGTAAGTCTTATGTTTAAGTTCCTGCCAGTTTCCCCGATATAGGAGGCGTGGCAGTCGGAGCAATTTATTTTGTAAGCTGCACCTTGTCGTTCGTTGGGTTGTTCTTTGTCCTTTATGTTCGTTAGTACTTGTCGTAAAGTTGTGATTGGTTTATGTGCGACACGTATGTTGTATGGTCGTAAGATACGCGAGATAGTCTCAGACGTACCTTTGATGTAAGGTATCGTTGCTGTTGTCACTGAGTTGTTCGTTTCGTTGGGTTCGTTGGGTTTGTAAGTGTTGCGTTTGATAAAGTCAGAGTTATAGTTGTTTTTGTGAAAAACACGTTTGAGGTAGTTGTTTTCGTTTTGTAAAGCGTCCGGTGAATCACATATAATTTGTGCACGTCTTGTTAATGTTCTGATTGTGGTGGCTTTGTGTGATGTAGGGTTGTAAGATGATTGGTCAAGTAGTCGGTCAGTATGTGTTGGCTTGCGATAAACTGTTGTTCCTAGTTTTTGATTGTCATGTTTTACCAAACAGTCGAGAAAAGGAAGAGTTCCGTTTTCTTCAACATCTTTGGTAAATTGTATGTGGCTGTTCTGTTTGTTGATGTGAGTATGGAAGTCATCAATCTCGTCTGCATGTAGTGCTGTGATTGTGTCATCTACGTAGCAAAACCAAAAAGGTAGTGCATGTTTGTAAGTCAAGAGTGCCCGTTCCTCTATAGATTGCATTACAATTTCAGCAACTACAACAGAAACGGGCGAGCCCATTGCTGTCCCATGTAATTGTTTGTAGTGTGTTCCTTTGTATTGGAAGTAAGTCGAGGTGAGGCAGAGCTCTAGTAACTCCATAATGTCTTCTGTCGGTAATGGCAGTACGTCCGTGGTGTTTGTAATAAGGGTTTTTGTACAAGTAAGTGCCAGATTAAGTGGAATACTGGTGAACAGTGATTTCACATCAAACGACACTAGTATATAGTTGTCCGGTATTTGTATAGTGCACAGTTTTTTAATGAAAGTTTCAGTGGATTGTAGCTTGTGTTTTGATTTGCTTGTAAGTGGTTGCAGTAAGTTAGTCAAGTACTTTGAAAGTTCGTAAGTTTTTTGTGGTCGTGGTACTGAACATCTGAGTCGATAGTAAATACGTTCAGATATGATGTTAGATTTTCTCATAGAGAAGATCTTGCTGTTAAGTTTGCGTACTAGTGATGGTGTTGGGTCTCGTTTGAGTTGTTCGTACGTTTGTCTGTCGTTAACAAGGGTGTCCATTTTGTTAAAGTAATCATTCCTGTCCATGACCACAGTCACGCGTCCTTTGTCTGCTGGTAAAATGACGATGTTGTTGTCGTGTTTTAGTCGTTTGAGTGCTTGTTCTTCGTCTTTTGTCAAGTTGTTGTCACGTATAGAGGACGATTGTAAAGTGGAGGCTATCCTGCTTCTGATCTCGTCTTTTGTTGTCTCTGACAAGTCTCTTTGATACGCTAGGACAGCCTCGACACTTGATACTATCGTCTCAGTCGGGATTTGTCTAGGTGTTATGGATTGTTTTAGTCCGTAAGATAGACACCTTCTTAAATAACTCTTATGTAAAACCAACTTCAACCTTCTTGCTTCAAAATCATCGACACTGTAGACACCACATTCTCCCTTAGAATCAAAGAAAATCTCCACCTTAACAAGACTAACCTTGACCTCAATGTATAAGTTTTTAAATTCAAAACAATATTTAGTATTTAACACGCTCTCCATTAATTCATCTCATTTTCTTATTATTTAAGTTTGTGAAAATTTACCGATAGATGAACAATTTTGCCGAAAGAACAAAGATTGGGAGGTTCTGCTACCCCTGACCCACCAATTCACGACAACCATGCTTATAATCAATGCATGTGCTGAAGATAAACGTTTATTTTAAACATTGTTTGCAAAAACACAACATCGTCAAAACAAAGCTTTTCAAATGAAATTGAAAAAGTAAGAATAAATAGCATGGACTGTTCTCTACCACATAAAAGCATCTATACATGAAATATAAAACATGTAATAGGAATGTTAATTTCTAGAATGTGTGAACGACATTTCAGACACGTCAGGAAACTGTTTTATAACACATCTATAGCAAATTGAATGGTTTTTCGATAAAAAAAAACATTAAAAGCTGCAAAATATCTAAATGACGTCACTTTTCTGGATGCAAGCCTGTGACAAAAGTTATGCGACTTAAAATATAAGCTAGGGCATTCGAAAAATACAGAAAGGTTTGAACAATTTCTGGGTCGTATAATTTAAGAACATTTTTATATTATGATCATTAGTCTAAAGCAAGTGTTACTTAATAAGAAAGAGACGGCATTGCGTACTCGTAGGCTGCTCTTTAAGTAAATGGTCACAAAACGATAAGGGTCAGAGGGTCCCAAAAAACAAAACCTACATAAATAAATTTTTAATTTTCTGAAAACATTATACACAACAGTTTTATTCGATGGACAGTTCTGTGCAGTTTCCGTTTGTGCGGTTTCAATTTTAACTGAATGATATTATGCAGATTTCATTCAATGAAAACATACTTTTTTGCATGTGAAGGGTCTTTATTTGAGACTTATGTATATTGACTATGGTAAGAATTTTATTATTTCAGATTAACTTCAAACCTTAAAAAAACTTGAAAACTTTTAATTTTTCATCAGATTACTTTGTTTGGAGAAAATAAAGCAATAAATAAACAATGCAACAAATTACTGAACTGAACAAAATACATATGAAATAAATCGTAGTATAATTGCATTGAATATTGTTCCCCCAAACAAGCTATAATTAAAGTTTATGGTCGCATAACATAATATATGCCACCATCGTATTTTTCTGTAGCGTTTCCAACACAAAATGGCACTTTCCGAAGAGATTGTGAAAAACAAAAGAGGTTGCAAAACAATAAAACGGGGAACAAAGGACAAATTGAGTTTTAACGCAAAAGAAACTATCATGCCTTCAATCAAAAAGTGCAATATATAATTAGCACAAAGCATCTAAAACTACAGTTGGTAAACAAACTTTAAAAACTAGTCAACTGAATCTAAAATTCAAGAATTAAGAATTAAGAGAGATGATTATGATGATGGATTTGAGAAATGTATAAAATCATATAATAGTATTACGAAAATACATATCTTACCAAAGCTTTTTCAGATAACTGTGATTTCCTATCTATAAGACGTTTTTTTCTCAATTCGTATAATCATATCATGATAATGACGAAGAGTTTGAAAAGTAGGTGGGTATTTAATAATCTAGCTCCATCGACCACCTAATAGCCTACCTAGTGAAGTGCACAAAATAATAGCAGGCTGCAAAAAATGGTGTTAGCTGTAAATTGTTTCTTATTAAAAATTGAACCACGTTTTTGTGTTATGACTTACCAGAAATCTTAGATCCGCTAATACAAATTCTTTTGTCAGCATTAATTTTGTTAAAAAAAACAAACACAACGGAGCAGCGTGGAGTAGAATTAACAGCAAATTAATTTCAATTTGGGTAAAACAGTGTATCATTTGACTGAGTGAAAAAAACATGGTCATTTCACAAAAAAAGACATGATAACTACTAGAATGTAGACATAGTAAGCTGCTGTAACCAGGGGCGGATCTAGGATTTTGGATACCATAGGCAAAACATTATGACGTCATTCAGTGCTAAACCTATGACGTCATACTTTGCAAAACATACTACACTATTTATGCTTTCGATAAATTGTTTAAATCAAACAGTCTAATCATTCAGCTATGCAGAATCTTGTAGATCTCAATCGTATAAATACATAAAAACATTGTATATTTATACTTACATATCACAAGGTCGTTGATTTTCACTATTCAGAATATTGAATGCACACAAGACTGTTTCGCCCCATATCAGGGCTCATCAGCATGCCTAGGAACACTTTAACGCAAAACAAAAAATCGTGATCCGGCATGGACAGCCCTGTGAGAGCCGAATTAAGCAGACTGGTTATGGCGCCAGAAGTTCGCCTACACACCTTTGAAAAAGGAGTTTGGTTAGAAATGGGTGACTATATGGGATATTTCATGGATGTGATATTGCTCAATTTTTCACACCATCCCAGTCAATTCCAACCCTTTACCCCCCACCTAAAAATGAGCACTCTGGTTTTTGAAGGCGCCAGAAACTTATTTATGCTTAACAATTTTTGTGAAAGTAAATTTATGTCGACAACGGCCGAGTACCATACACGTACTCAGCAGTTTTAAGATTGGAATGTATATAGGGAAAAAAACCTTTATCGGGCGAGCTATTAGTTTGATGCAAATTCTATTGACGTTACTATTGTGTACAACGCACAATAAATGGTTAACATATGGACATTTCAACAAAATAAAACTAGGATATGAATAAATTCATGCAAATTTTAGCCTTGTATTTCCAACAGCAAAAGTATTAATAACCTCACCAATATCTGGTACAATTTCCTGATGAATTTGCATCAAGGCCAAACCATTTAAGCGTTCCCCAACCATGGTACTTCGCTGATAGTTTTTAAGTGTCCTAAGGGAAGAAATAGATCGTTCACATTCACAAGAGGTAATGGGGAGCGTTCCTAAAATACGTAGTAAAATTTTAATGTTTTCAAATCCGGCGAAATGAACAGATTTTAAAGTCTGGGCAATGTTATCAGGAAGGAGGCCGCAGTGGGTCTCCCAATAAGTGTACCACAACCTAAGTTCAGCATCTAAGGCCAAAGGATTTGGCAAATCATCATAATAAAAGTTAGCCACAGTTTTGAATGGCTCTTTCCAATCCACCCCATCTCTTGTCATGGACATCATTTTCGTCGGTACAATGCTAAGGCCTTTATAGACATTCACACTCAAGGTCGAATCGTGATTCTAAAGAAGATTGCAAATGATCTAGTAGAGGAAGAGTAATTGCACGTTTATAATACTCAGAAATGGTTGTGTGGGAATATTTTCCCTGGTCGTTTGTTTGCGCACTGTTCTTGGTTTCCATTCTTCAATGCCAACTTTTGCTGCCAGTTCAAGCGCTTCGTCATACCAGGTGTCATGATAAAAATCAGAGGAATTCCTCATGTTCACCACCTCAGTTTTCAAAGTTGAAATTAAATGAATACCATCCATTATATCGATACTCTTACCCTGTAATAACTGTGTTACTGGAAGAGTTGAATCAAGAATATTTCTCGTGATAACTAAAGCAACGACGAAATCAAACCTGTCAATAAGTTGAAACAAAGATGAGGCATCAGACTGAAGCGACGGTTTGAACTCACCATCTAGATTTTCAGACATATCGTTAAGGGTGGTGTATACAGGTACAAAAAGCTCTTGGAATGTATCTAAACCTTCGATACGTTCTACCCATCTAGTTTTGCAAACGTCTGTTAATCTAGTCTTTTTCGAGTTTGTTTCTGAATTACGTATATGTTTTTCAAAGGGAATATTGCGAGTTTGGGAAATTTTAATAAAATTAGTGGCATTGTTAACATGTTTCAACATATCATTGACAACACGTATACTCAAAGAATCGCAAATGGATAAGTTTAACCTATGACTATAGCAGTGTGTATAAAGAGCCTTTGGGTTAAGCTTTAAAATTTGAGCTGCTAGACCATTAGTGCAACCAGCAACTGAACCAGCCCCATCATAACCTTGCCCCCTACAATCATCTATTGATAAAGTCAGTTCCTTTAGAGCCTCTAAAAGTAGCTTGGCAAGTTGAGCACCACTTAGTCCCCACTTACAAAAAAGAAATGAAATGAATTCTTCCCTGATATTCATATCGGTATCAACAAAGCGCAAAACAAGAGACATTTGTTCTTTATGTGAAGAATCAGATGCTTCATCAGCAATAACAGAAAAAAAATTACTTTTTTTGATATCAGAAATAATCTGATTACTGATTACCTGGCCACAACATTTAATGATTTTATTTTGACTTGTTTTAGAAATATAACTTCTATTCTTACCACAATTCTTTAAATGATTTTCTAAAACTTTATCCCCTCTCCTAACTCCATAATTGAGTGTTTCAATGAAATTACCAACCCTCCAGATGAATAACAACCAACAGTAGGGTGATACTTGGAATCATCACGATGCCCACGAAGAGGTAAACCTAGACGTCCACAAAAATGACAGAATCAATAATTGGAGATAGTATTTCCTATTCTGTTCTATTTCTTTCTTGATACCAGCATCCATGATCATCTCGATAGGCTGCAGAGTACCTGATATTTGGGAACGCAAAGCATCAAAATTGGTGATGTGGATGCATGCAAACCGACTTCCTCCCTTTACTTTTTCCAGCATGTTGAGTGAAAGAGCATTTAGCATTCTTCCAATCTTGAAGAGGTTCAGTAAACAACTTTTTTACTTTACTGGCCTTGCCTGGGAATCTATTGCCAAACAACACACACGATAGACAATACGCACCATTTTGTGAAGGTGAATAGCAAAGCCATTCATGCTGGTCTAGCCAATCATGCCTAAATGATCTGCCATTAGATTTAGGAAAATGATACTTTTTATCTGGTTTATATACATTTTTTATCAAATGACATATTTCAGAATTATCCATACCCTTAACTTTCTCCCTATACAAGGAAACATCAAAATTATGGGTTAAAACAGCAGGTTGCATATCACCAGAAGTTGGAATACCAGGCAATAGTTCCTGGGATGATGTGTGAAGCAAAAGACTATTGGCTTTATTTAATGTCTGAGCAAGAGCTGCAGCAGAAGAAAACTCTCATTGGGCATCCTTTTAAAAGTTGGTTGGGCAGCAGGCCTATTAGTTGAAGTAAAAAAATTTGAAATGTCAACTGTTTTTGGTGCAATATTTGGAAAAATTTTGACAAATTTTCGTTTCTCTGTTGTTGAGCTGCTAGAATTAGACTGTGTACAGGAATTAGACAATTTTCGCTTCAACCTGTGGGCATGGAAAATGAGAGGCACAAAATGATTAGACTGAAAAGTCTCACCTGGTTGTACAGATCCTTCATGACAAAACAAAATATTAATAGCATCCAAACCTCTTTGGCTTAATAACCGGGCTGAACAATACGATTAAATAACAATTTATATCTACTTTCACCAGAATCAGGATAAAAGTATGAATTTTTCTACCTAAAACAGAAGATAGGCCCAAAATACAAAGAAAAGATGACCATTTCTGGTCATTACAATTTAAAATAGCCTCCTGTTTTACCAGTTCATCTGTTGTATATCCAGTGTCTAAACATTCTTTAGACACTGACAAAGGCAAAAGATTGTTTAAGCTTTGGGCAAAGTAATCACTGTGCTCACTTATAACAGACAAAAGCATGGGTGTTGAGCATAAAAGCAGCATGAATAAATAGCTCAAGCGATGTTAAAATTCGCAAAGTAGGGACCAATGCATTGTTACCTACCAGAACTAGGGAAGCTGAACTGTAGAGGCAATTGCCAGAAGCTTCAGATCTTAAAAAATATTCAAGAAAAGAAATTAATATTTTGTTTGGTAGATTGATTGCATTGTATGAATGAATTGCTGACTGTAGACAAAGATATAGCCTAGCGAAATTGAGATTTAACCATTTTACACGTATATATAAATACTACAATACGATATATATAATTATAATATATTTACCTTATTGCAGTACAAGTCTTTCCGTCATGAGCGTGCTTTGGCACATATATTTCAGCTCCAAAATTTCGACACAGAGTATGGTCGGGGTCATAAATTCTATCTAACAGCTGCTCGTTAGTAAACATAGGTCGAACGTCGACCAATAAACGAGAATAAAGCTCATTAAGGCATTTTAAATCGTTTTGGCCAACGCAGACTGAGCAGTCTCGTATAAATTACCACAACACAATGAAGACATTATAAAATATCACAAAACCGTAAACTGAGCACAGAGGCTGTTCAGAAACAATACGAGTGTATGTTAATTTTCAATTGCCTAATTTGCCTAGCTCAACTATGCTTATCAACAGCAATGATTGGTTGGAATTGCTCAAGTTAGGCAAAAAAAATTGACCAATGAAAGCATACGGTTGCAAAAAATTGCCCAATCAGAATACCTATACACGATGTCAAGTTAGGCAAATTCATCTTGTTTAGGCAAATTGCTAACAACCAATCAAATGGCTAGATCGCCTTCTTGACTTAGGCAAAATGGCTGCTTTGCCTAACGACACGGAGCTTTATAGATAATCATACGCATCTGGACTACGATTCATATCAAAATTACGTCATTTAATTGCACAACATTTCTAAACAAAAGTCAGATGATTTGACTGCGATAAAGTGCTATTCATAGTTTCATAATTCGATAAATTCGTATCGAATCTAAGTCGAAGTATATTTTGGTAATTTCACCATAGGCACTTGCCTATGGTGCCTACCCCTAGATCCGCCCCTGGCAGTAACCAGAAAGTCCTACGTCTTACGTTTTCGAACGAAAAATCTAGAAAATCATTCTCAGAGAAAATTATTCTAAGTGATACTCAATAAATCAATCAACGAAACAATAAGCAATTATTGGAGAGCCTGTCATAACAGGTATTTCAATGAATGCTTTAGTGTTTATTATTTTATATTGGAGTTCACTAAATTTATTCTGAATTGCAATTAACACTTCATTACTAACTAATTTTTAAATTGAAATTTTGACATGTTTTCATTATGGCTTTGTCATTGTCTTTAAATTTAAATTTATTCAAAAGTCTTTGCACATGTTGGTTTTCTGAGGTTTGTTGCTTTTGAAAACTTGAAATCATCATAGGCAATAATATACCCATCCAGTTCTGAATTGCAGTCCTTTGCCAAAAATTTAATCTCTCTAGACGTAAGTTTCTCGTTCCAAACGTACACGAAATCTATTTCACCTTTAAAAGCATTTTGATTTTGAAATCCTCCTCCAACAAAATCTTGATCTTGCCCTATTACCCATTGTCCACCTGCTTTGAGACTTTTACTTTTTCCACCAGCTTTAGTACTACGTATCATGCCGTCCTTGTACACATTTATTTGTCCACTGGATGATTCCCAAGTCACAGCCAAATGATGTGGCTTTCCATCAAGAAGGTCATTGACTCCTGTCCTTCAAAAGACAATGATAAAGTGCTTCATGAGTATATGATTCTATTTATGGATACATAGAAACACCCATTATTTGCAAATTTAGACCAAACAAACTTTTCTTATTCAAAACTTCTATTAGTTATTAACAATTAATAAACCTTCTGATGTTTATTCGTGTAATTTTAGTATTTTAAAACTAGAAAATTTTGCCAATCATTCATTTATCTAGGTCAAACAGTGTAAAACTCAAAAAAATTATTTACTTTCTATCATACTACAGGATGTGCCAAAAATACGAGCCTACACAAAAAGTAATGTTATGCGTTAACATTTGATTGTAATAATTGTGCATTAAAATGATGATTGTATTAATGTTTGCATTAAATGCAAATGAAAATGACATGTTCATTGAAACGTATGGAAACTCTGACAATATTTTTGTTGTTATAACTCAGTAAAAATCGCTTTGATTTCATAAAGCATTTGCGTAATAAATGCAAGATAAAATTTAGTGTATACAATACTTATAAATTCTTTAGCTTTAGCTTCTACATAACAAACCTTATAAAACTTTAAAAAATTCAGAACTGTCAAGTTCTTTGAACTTTTGTGAACGCAAGTTATATTTTTTTGCATAATGACTTCAGTAAATACATAACAAACTATGCGGTTTCCTTTTTTATTGTAACAGTTTGTAGATTCCCCTCACTTTCTTTACTTATAATGCACTTAGCATTCTATTCTCAATTCTGATTGGCTTAGAAATACAGTGCAAAAGAATAAAGTAAAGTGCACTTTTCTTTTTTAAAAGTGGTCCTGCTTGATTTGTTAATTAAAGAAATAGTATAAGAGTACTAAAATAGAACATATAAAGGCAGGAAATTTAAATTATCACAAACAAAACAATTACAACGCCTGGAGTGTAGTATCGAGTAGATATTTTTCGGCAAACTAGCTTTTACAAGACACTTTTGGCTAAAGCTGCAAAATCTGAGGAAGGTAGACATAAGTCTGGAAGCTGCGTTGTTCTAAAATAAATTGTCCTAGAATTAAAAAATCATGAGCTTGTTCATATCTGACATGTACCTACACTGAAAATAAAAATCAAGAGAATTCCAAGAAATTATCATGCATATACCATCTAAAATTAATTCCATGGTTTGTCTTGGAATTTAGAAAATATGGAATAATGACTTTTTCCAAGACTTCAAATTGGACTTGTCAGTGAGACAGTATTTGAAAAACTCAGGAGTCCACGTTTTCCCAATTTGCAATCGAAGCAGTGTTATAACTTAAACAAAGACATCCTTTTTTATTTGGACCAAGTGCACAGGGTGCAAGTTTAAAGCACAGATGTTTACAGAAAGATGTATAAAACAATTTGATTGCTTTAAAGACTTCGTGCAAATCATGCTTGTGTTTTTTTCAAACTTTAAACACAAGAGGATAGTCAATACTTTGTTAAACTTGTATGACCTCTTGTGCACTAAAATGCATAGATCTAAAGAGAAGAACGATATATTGATTCTGACCCTAATACATGAACACAGAAATGAAACATAAGTTATTAGGCTTACAACTATTACACTGCAGCCCGTTGCCCAATCAGCAGTGTTGCAATCCGGAGATCAGAGGGTTGCCAGAATCCCAAATCATTGTTCTCTCAGCAAAAATATTTCTCTATCAATTATTTCTAAACAATTTTTTTATTATTTCTAATAAGCACGACCATACCACGTTTCATTTGTCAGGAAATTTTAAGCCCAGACCACCTTAAAAACACAAAATTTGATACGCCCATGTGCCAAAGGTTGTATGAGTATTTAATATAAGTAAAGTCTTCATTTCTAACTTCAACCATAACAGATTGCTTTTCAAGTAACCTTCTAAAGTACATTAAAAGTTCAAGATGGAATCGAACGTTTTAGCACGCTCAGGCAGACATTGCTGGCTTTGGAGTATACACATTTTAAATTTAAATATTTAAAATGTGTATACTCCAAAGTATATATATGTGTATAGTCAATTTGGATTTTATGTTTATTTGGAGATATTAAATAGAGCTCAATGGAACATGATAAGATAGGAAACAATATATCAGAATGTTTGTCTTGTGTTAGGAAAAATTGTACTTAGAAACCGTAAACCTACAATAATATCGTTCGATCTGTGTACGCATTTGCTTTTATACTCACTGAATTATGGCACCAACTATAAAAATATCCAAAGTAGAGTGGTGAATAGTCAGAGCAAAGGCGTTATCTGTCTGCTTATCTGCATACGATACCATTGCTACATAGGCATTCTTTTTGTAGTAGTCGTCATTCCAAACGGTAATCCATAAAGAGATTGTTAAAGTGTTCAATAATGGCGATGGCCCGTAAAAGATGCCATACTGGTTTATATTATTGCCATCAAAGGAGGTCGCTAAAAATGGAATTGTTTGGTTAGTATTTTATGTTTTTATACATTTTTACATTGTTTTTGGCATAGATAACATTAATGCTAATAGAGCCATATTCTATGATTACCTTTTCTGTTTCTGCTTTTACAAACGTCATCTTTATGTAAAACTTGTCCCTGATTATCACAGTACTTGCAGCAATTGTGTAGCACCCCCTTGCATGTATTTTCTGAATTGCAGTTCACAGTCTTCATACTAAATAAATGGAGAATGTTCATTTTTTATTTCAGTTATGTTTGACAAACTGTCAATGTTGTACAATTGTGCATAAAACAAAACAAAAAATATGTATTTTGTCTATAAGAATGAATCGACGATTCGTTAAATCCAGGAAAGATTTATACAATGACACAATATATTGGAAAATTCTTTCTTTTGATTGACCAAGTTCATGAAAAATCTGGTTTTATGTATATAGAGTCCAGGTTCCAATATAGCAGTATTTTAGGCCAAGTTCAAACGTCGAACTTACAAGTGAACCGAACGCAAGATAATGAGGAAGTTCATCTTATTTTATGTCTTTTATGCTTTTTGTACATGTAAAGTTTGACGTTTGAAACAGGCCTAACGTTATTTTGAGTCTGTGATGCTTTGCAGAATATAAAGTTTGTGGACTTTGCCAAGTACGTAGTGGTTGATACAAACCACTAGTTACAAGAAGGACAAAACAAGGCTCAAATTTATGCAACAAATAGGCCGAAAAACTGAAAAATATTTTTTATAAAACATGCTATTCCACAATGGTCACCAAAAAGAGGTTCTCAATATTCACAACTAAAAATTTTTGAAGAAAACCATGTAAAAGTCTAACCAAGAAAAAGTCTAACCAAGAAAATAATACAGTCTGCCATGGTGTTTTTCCTCGTGCATCCCCTTGATGTTTGTGGAAAGCCCCTCTCTCCCATAATTAGGGACAATAAAGTGTATCAACACAAGTTTTCTATAAAACTAACTACGCGGCAAAGTTCCACAAAATGCGCTCGTCACAAAATCATTAAGCTCAGAAAATCTAAATATAGCGCTTCTAAAAATAAGAAACACATATCTCAGTAATTATTAAACAATGATTTATGTTTTGTAAAATAAAATTATTAATTTATAAATTTAGCTAAAGAGAGGAATAATTTCGGTTAGGGAGTTTTCCGGCAATTCTTAGTCTCCTACGCGGCTTCTAACAATATTAACCAATCAAAATAAATCTTGGCCGCATGTGATTTATTTCTTATCATATAATCGGCGTTCAGTGACGTACAGTAGAACCTGTCTTAAGCCAC